GGTCCCTGGGTGCGTGCCCTGGAAGAGTTCATCTTCCCTGTGGCCCCTTCTCCCCTCCTTTCTGTTTCTCTGCTGCCATGAGTGGACTAGCTGTCTTCTACCACTGTCCTTCTGCCATGAGGTTCTGCCTCACCTAGGGCCCAAGCAATATAGTTGACCTCCTGTGGACTGAAACCTCTGACACCATGAGCCAAAATGAGCTTTTCCTCCTGTAGGTTGTTCTTGTCAGGTATTTTGGTCACATTGACACAAATCCTCACACTACATTTAAACACAACTCGAAGCAGAGCTGTTGGTGCCCACTGGTTCTCAGTAACTCCCCACCTCCTCACAGCTGCTGGCCAGAGTCCAACCTTCATTCCTCCATTTCCTTATTGCCATGTCCAAGTGGTCAGTGTATCCATTGGCTTTACCGTCAAACTATCACCCAGAGCATGTCCCCAAATAAGCCCCCAGCCAGACCCTTGTCACTCCTCTGTGGCTGCCCTGTATTCTTCCGGGCTCCAGTTTTGCCCTGCCCCCCCACTTTCTATAGGGCAGTAAGTGCTTCCTACATAGATCTTGCTGCACAACCCAATAACACCCCACTCCCTGTGCTGGTCACGGCCGAGAGCCTGCCTTGGGCACCGACTCCCCTGGACCATCTGTTTCGTTTGGTCTGCCCCTGTCTCTGGACTCTTCCCCTGTCTCTGGACTCTTCCCCATGATCCTCGGTGGCTGGCTGTGTAGCACCTGTCTGCTGGGTGAGCACCTCCACCACTCCACATGCTGTGTTCCCTTTTCTCCTCTGTGGCACCAGTTATTGGTCCTGTTTGTAGGCCATGTTAGTTTTCCTTTGGGTTGGAAAAGTGGACTTGTGGCCCTGGCTGCAGCGATGGAAAGGCCAGTAACTTGTGAGATTCTTCTGAATCCCCTGCCAATGCCGTGGTGGATTTCCAAGAGCTACGCTACACCTCTTGACACCCTCTCACACCCCGAAGCCACATGCCATTTGTACCTGCATGCTCTTGGAGGAGAGAGACCATGCTGGCTGCTCCTGGAGGGGCAGGTGGTGCAATCACAGTGGCTGCTACACAGTTGCAATTGCTCTCAGGTGTTTCTCCCTGCAGTGTGGTTACTGACCTGCTTTGATCTCTGACTTTGCCTCTTCTGAGACCACAGCAGGACCAGTTTTAAAACGTGCCTTCCCTTGAGCTGCTTTGTCCTCTGAAGCTTTCCCAAAGTGTCTCTGGACCCACCTGCATTACCACCTGGAGTGTTTGCCAAGAACAGATTCCCAGGCCCCACTCCAGAGTTGCGCAACGGGGATTGTGTTCCCGGGAACATTCCCAGAAATATTTGTTTGCAGCAAGCACCTCAGGCAATTCTCAAGCACACTGATTTTCAGGTTTAAAAGTTGCTGTCAGTGGCTGAAAAAATTGAAGGCACAGGTCTTCATCAGAGCTTGACAGTGTTCTCCTGTGGAAAACGGGGAGATAATGGGTTTTCTTTGCTTTGGCTTTGGCCAAATGCAGGAAGAATGACTGCATTTCTTAAGTCCACATCTTGAACTCATACCACGTACCCTGCAGAATTTGATGGTAACTGCCATCAATCCACCTAACTTGGGGGAAGGCACAGTGGAGGAAGAGAATGACTGGTGAGTTTTTCCTCCCTCCTACACCTTCATCTGATGACCCAAATCATCTGTCCATCCACCCGTCCATCATCCATCCATCCATTATCCATCCATCATCATCCATCCATCATCCATCATCCATCCATCCATTATCCACCCATCATCCATCATCCATCCATCTGTCATCCATCCATCATCCATCATCCATCATCCATCTATCATCATCCATCCATCCATCCATTATCCATCCATCATCTATCATCCATCCATCCGTCATCCATCCATCATCCATTCATCCATCTAACCATAATCCATCCATCCACCCATTATCCATTCAATCCATTCATCTACCCTTCTATCATCCATCCATCATCCATTTATTCAATCCATTCATCCACGTATCCATCATCCATCCACCCATCCATCATCCATCCATCATCCATCATCATCCATCATCTATCATCCATCCATCAATCATCCATCCATCATCCATCATCCATCATCCATCCATCATCCATCATCCATCCATCAATCATCCATCCATCATCTATCATCCATCATCCATCATCCATCCATCAATCATCCATCCATCATGCATCCATCCATCATCCATTCATCCATCTCCCCATTCATCTATCCATCCATCCATCTCCCCATTCATCTATCCATCCATTCATCATCCATCTTCCATCCATCATCCATCTATCATCCATCCATCCATCATCCATCCACCCACCCATCCATCATCCATCATCCGTCATCCATCCATCATCCATCCATCCATCCATCCATCCATCCATCCATCCATCCACCTCTTTCAACTAGGAAAAGGACCCTGCATGTGCTATAACAAGAACAAGCTAAAAGGAAGCAAATGTCTCTTCTTTACATGGATATCTTCTTTTGAAATTTTTTATTTCACTTTTTCTAACAGCAATATAGAAACAATCATAAAAATAAAATTGTCCATCGATTATGTAATAGCACTTGGTATTGCTACAGGGGTAGGTCAAGCCTGCCCAGGCCCTTTAGGCCTCTGTGATGGCTACTGAGCCTACGAAGGCATCGGACATGACCACATGTGACAGCACAGTGGAGACTTGGTGGGTGTTTTACATCCTGGGGGGGGGCGCACAGAGATGGCTCATGGATGAATCTGCAAACAGCACTGTATACGCATGGTAAACCGGAAAGTCAGTGATGGAGGCTGGAACCGCCTGGCTGCCACACAGCAGGGACTTCACAAAGCTGAAGGAATCAGTTAGTCGTGGGCTCACGGTGGAAGGCAGGTGCTAACCGGTGTGGGACACCACACGGGGAAGCACAGCTGTCTTTCCCTGCACTTCGCAGACCTCCACCTCCCCTCCTATCCCAAAATAAAATTCTCTTGGGATGAACTAAACAAAGTAGCTGAAACATCTAAACTATCCCCAAACATCTGTCTGGGTCTTAACTTCCTTCCAGAGAACAAAGGTAGGGGCCCCGCTGGGCCACAGAGCTGAGGGCTGCTCAGCCGCAAGCCACTCCACGGTGCTGACCACTTCATCTCTGTCACTCCACTTTCCTTCACTCCAATTTTTTCAATTACTCTAATGACTGATTTCTAAAAAGAAAACCATTTATATATATATATTTTTTTTCCTGAATATGGGATGGGTTTTCCTGTGTGTTCTCCGCAGGGTGGGTGGGTGGGTGGGTAATGGCCAGCAGATGGCCTGTGGCCTGCAGGACCGGTGTGGAAGGAGGTGGCAGGAGGGAAGTCCTCTCAGGACCTGGCCGTGCTATTTGGCCTCCAGGAAAGCCTGCCAGACAAATCCTTTGGTATTTAGGGCCAACAACAAATCCTGGCTATGCTCTTCTACCTTCTTTGGGTCTCCCTGAAGTCACGAGGAAGACACCACATTCTCTTCTTGCTACCTGGGGCCCCTCATTTGCTCTTCCCCATTTCATTCCCCCCAAAATACAGCTCCTACCAGGTGGGCTGTGGGGGTGTGGACGTGGCCTGCAGAATAAGGGACCTGGAACCTGGAGAGTCAGGATACTTAAGGATGGAGACCAGTGGCGTGGACCCGAGGGGCCACCATCCGGGCACTGCTCTGCCTCCCACTCAAATACTCTGGATCAAAAAGTAGGAAGACAGGGTGGGGGCTGGGCTGTGGAGGGAGTGGGCAGTTTATGGGTTTAGCAAAGCATCTTTGGGTTCAAGGTGGCTGACCTCTCTATGCATGTTCACAATGATTTCACACCTTCATAGTCTACAGCCGTTGGACAGCCGGGTGACCCGAGGACAGTCATTCTCCTGCCCCAGCTTCACTCTGCTCCTTTATCCATGAGAGGACTCTGCCAGATGCCATCAAATATATAAAAACTCCTGCCCCTGGGGTCACCCTGTGGCATGTGGTAGTGACCAGGTGACTTCGCCAACCTGCTCCCTGCTTGCCCACCCTCACACTTCCTGGGTGGGAGAAACTAACTCTTAAAGCCAAACCCCAAGCTCTGTGCTCGACCTGCTCAACTGGCTTCCAGTTTGGACGAGAACCAAACAGTTATAAACAAGTTAGCAACACGTTAGTGTAACAGTCTATTCAATTAAAGTGAGCGGTTGAGGTCAGACACTGTCTCAGAGGAGGCCCAGGATGGGCTTCTGGGCTCCCTGGAGACTCTGTTGTGCACCCTCTGGGGAACTCAGTGATGGGTGATCTGTTCCCGACCTGCCTGGCCCAGTCGCCAGCCACCTCCTAGGTGCTCTCCAGCTGTTGGTGCATATGGCCAGGGGAGGCAAGGGGGCCCCACCCCAGCCACACAAGTGCACAACTAGCACGCGTCCCAGCCACTCATTCACCTGGCCTCACGGTGCCCAGGCCCAAGACTGACAGCAGCCCGGGTGGTGCCACCAGGGCACTGGCTTCTGCCAGGCCAAGGGTCCTACATTCCAGCACCACATCCTGCTCTTCTTTCTGGTTTCCTTTCCTGCTGGGTCCCTGTCAAGGCTGCTAAGTCACCAACCAAGGGCGAATTTGAGCCAGGACTTGGAGGGTGGCAACGGTGTGAGATGGGTGCTTCTAACACATCTAATCGCCCCTGGGGAGAGCCTTCTATAAGAGTAGCAAGCTTTGGGGGCTCCCTTGGGGGGGTCCCAGTTCATAGCACCAGCTATCCAGGAGTGGGGGACTGAGGTGGAGCACCGGGGACCCTGCCCACGGAGCTTTTGCACACTCAGGGTGCTGAATAAGAGGGGGCCAGGAGACACTGGGGTCCGCGGCTGGGCCTCCCAAGAGCACCCTCCCTCCACCAGGTCCTAGGGGCATGCCCGGGGGACCCCACTGGGTAACTGCCCAGCCCAGCTCCCTCCCTCTGGGGTCCTCTGCCCCTCTGGGGCTTCTCAGCAGAGAGAGAACCTCCGGGAGTTGATGTTCATCTTGGTGACCCCAATGAGCCTGAGCGGTGTGGAGAGGCTGAAGGAGGAGGCCAGCGGGGAGTCGCAGAAGAGGTCGGACAGCTCGTCCCGCTCCTCCAGCTCGTAGGTGGCATCGTTGAGCATCCTCCTGTGCAGGCGGCAGGTCTGCTCAATCTTGAGCTTGTTGATGTCACCTCGCAGGCGCATGAGCTGCCTGGCCAGCTGCTGGTCCTGCAGCCGCATCTCCGCCTGGAAGGGACGAGGGAGGGGTCAGCAAGAGCGGTGGAGGTGGCGGCTCCTTGGTCCCTCACAAGCACAGACCCCTTACTAGGAGTCCTAATGGATGTCTTGGGCCATTGAATGGTGTATCTAGAAACATCAGCAGCTTCTGGGCTCAGGTGACAAAGGAGGGTGTGTTTGTCCAACCAAGCTTTGTGCTGGGCAAGTTACTATCTAAATCCTTCTCTTCTGAAAGAGGTGCATGTAGTCCTGGCTTAAAGATACTTCCAGCTGAGTGCCGTGGCACATGCCTGTAATCTCAGGGGCTCAGGAGGCTGAGGCAGGAGGAGCACAAGTTCAAAGCCAGACTTAGCAACTTAGGGAGGCCCTAAGCAACTTAGCCAGACCCTGTTTCCAAAAAAAAAAAAAAAAAAAAAAGACTGGGGATGTAGCTCAGTGGTTAAGAGCCCCTGGGTTCAATCCCTGGTTCCAAACCAAAACAGACCAAAAACCCTTCCAGTTCATTCCCACTGTTTAGCGATATATTCAGATGCAGCAAGAGGATGAAGAAAAGATGAGAATGACAAACCCCGAGTTCAGGAACATGGCTCCTCTGGGTGGGAAAGAGGAATGTAATGGGGGGGGGACTTTTAAGGGCTCTAGGTCATATGCTGGGGGGCTGGCAGCTGCTATATTATCCTTTAAATGTCCTTGAATGCTGAAATATTTAATAAAGTTTCAAAAGAAATGAGGTGACTATCTCTTACTGTGAACCAGGCATGGTTCCCGGCTCTTTGGGTGTATTCACATACATCAGGGCTCCTCACTGCAGCCCATGGAGTAAAACTCCATCGTGGGTAGGGAAGTAGAGGTACCGAGAAGAAACCCTGTCAGGTCGCAGAGTCCCCCATTAGCGGAGCTGGTCAGTGACTCAGTCAGACTCCATCAGACTCCATGACCTCAAGGACTGACCGCTAAGTTCCGCCTCCGAGGGAGAGCCGGAGCGCGGGACGTGGAGCTGAGTGATCTGTGACCCTGTGGGAGGCTACAGTGATCTGAGTGCCTCTGTGTTTCCTGATGAGGAAGGGACATGATGATAACTCCACACGTGACCCCAGCTGACAGATTCCAGAATCCATCTCCATGTGGAAATTGTGGGACCCCATGGTCCCAGAGGTACCAGCAGGGCAGCGTGAGCCTGAATTTTACGAGCCAGGGTGTTCAAGCTGAGGGGCTCAATGTGTCACTCAGCTTCACAATCGTGACATGGCAGAGCAAGAGTGGGGCAGGATATCGCCAGGCTTAGAGGAGTATTTTCCATTTAGTGTCACCAAGACAGGCCACAGGCTGCCCCTACTTGAATTGAGGTCTGATTCCTTCTCACAATTCACTCTGCCTACACTTGCAAGTGGTTATTGTTTTAGCATTTTGGGGTCCTGTGTGGCCCACCTGGTGCTTGAAGCCAAATGAGACTCCAGAGGGACCCTTCCTAATTTGTGGTTACGCAAATTAAAGCAAATGTCCTCACCTTCCTCTTCAAGAGTTGGGAATACGAGGCGCTACTGGGTAGAAAAATGCGTGTCCTCATGAGGACTCATTTTCAATGTACCTTACAGATCTCGTTCCTGATTTCATGGGTGAGAAGCATCAAGAGAGAAAGCCTGGACTTCACCTGAGGGTCAGCAAGAATTGGGATGGGTGTTCATAGTCCCAATCCTCGGGCATCGCAACTCAAATTCTTTGCCAGTCAGGAATCCTAATGATTTAGGGTAGCACCAGATTGAGGGTGATGGGCTGCCACAAGTGGCTGGTCATCTACTCATTTTCTGTGAAGCCCCTAATCTGCCGGGGACTGGGCGGCACGATGCCTGCGCCCTCTCTGACGGAGACAGAGGTCGGACCTGTCTGAAGACACACTGTCCACACCTCTGCCTTCACGCCATCCTCTGGAGCCTGGCTTGTCCTGCTTCTCTTAGGAGTATTTTGGAATCTGAAGATAGATATCCTTTGAAAGTGAGGAACCCTGTGGTTTAGATCCGCATTTTAGCCTCAGGAATTGGAACTTTGTTCTGAAATATCCTTTAACACTGGAGAATTTCAGGTTGGCCAAGTGTCTGAGAGGAGCTGTGAGACACCGCCTGCAGGGGGCAGCAGAGAGGGGGAAAGGTTATGTTTCAGCAGCCTGGGAACATGGCACTCAGGTCCCCGGGGCTGGCCACAGGCAGTGCAGTGGTCCCTCCAGGGCTCCTGTCCCCCTGGGGCAGATGCAGGGCTTCATGGCTTGGGTGAGAGTGTGTAGGTGAAGCCCCTCTCCTGCTGGCTCAGTGGCTTTGGGCAAAGCCACTAATGCTCCCTGAACCTCTGTCCTTTGCCTCTCAAAGGAGGCATGTAAGAGACAAACTCAACACTCCATGAATATGAGCCTCGGTGGCCACAGGAGGCGGGCGCTCGCCAGCTCTCTAGTGCCCCAACGCAGGTCCGGACTCAGGACCAGGCCAGGGCATCCCAGGCTTAATCTCTCCTTTAACAGACTGACCGCTGGTCCTGGCCCCTGAGGGTGACGCACCTCTCAGTGTGTGTGTCCTTGTGGGACACTGACTTCCCTCCCCTCTCCCAGGTGGCCTGCTGTCCTCTGGGGATGAGGCACTTGCTGGACTCTGAGAGGTACACTGACCTCTCCGGCAAGCCTGACCTTGGCACTTGGTGAAAGGAGGTGAGATGTCACTGGTCAGGGGCTCTCAGCACTTTGTAGGGAGATGGTGGGTACCCCAGGTGTGGAGGAAAGGAAGGTGGCCCTCGGCAGGGCTGGAATGTGATCTAGGCTCGATGGTCACCCACAGACATCGGTTTCCACCAGGCACACAGGAGCCCTCCTAGGACAGCCGGCTGGCTGTTTCTGCAGGTGGAAGGTGAACCCGCCCAGGGCGGAATTCAGTCACAAACAGTGTCATTAAAGGGCTCTGTCAGAGGAGAGGAGCATCCTCACTCCCAAGCAGGCGAGGTGAGGTGAGGAGGTGAGAGGGGAAGGTGGAGAGGAAATTCAGAGAGCAGAAAATGCCCCAGGAATGTGTCCCTCGTGGGTGTGGGTGTGGGTGGGTGGGCTCTTTGCACCTACTGTCTCCTGCTGGGGGGTGTGGAGAGGAGGAGCTGTGCCTGCCTTGGAGCAGGCAGGGATAAAACCAAGGCTGCAGAAGACCCGGGAAATGGCAGGCAGACCCTCAAAACAATCAGACAGAATTATCGTAGGACCTGCAGCTTCACCTTGGGGTACAGATGTAAGACATCCGCAGGTGGGGACTCCAGGAGGAGTGTGCACCCCACGTTCACAGCACCCCAGGTTCATAGCAGCATTAGTCACAACTGCCCTAAGGTGGAAGCAACCACCTTGCTGGAGAGATAAGCAAGTGTGGTCCCTCCATGCACTGGACGCATTCAGCCTTAACAGGGAGGGAGTTCTGCCGCCTGCCACAGGGGTGAACTTGAAGACACTGTGCTAAGTGACGTAGGCCAGTCACTCAGCACATAATGCTGTGATGATCCCGTTTATACAGAGTAGCTAGAGTGACCAAACCCATGGAGCCAGGGAGCAGAGAGGGGCTGCGGGCCTTGGGAGGGGTCTGGGAGCTGGAGTTTGGTGCAAGCTGCGTTGCTTGGAAAGTTCTGGCTGGCACCAACTGGTGATCGAGAACCCCAAGGTGAAGGGTGTTTGTACCTATACTGGCCCAGCCTAAGAGCTATAATTAGCCTCTAATTGATGCTGAAAAGAGCCTGGGAACAAGACCCAGGCCATTTCTCAGTGTGTGAAGGGTCTGAGCACTCCTTTCCTTCCCGACTGGGTAATGAGACTTCATTCCTGAACTTTGCAAACGGTTTTTGCAACCCGTCTCAGGATTTGTTCCGCTCTGCGTCAAGGCCTGCCCTATTGTGACAATCGGCATCAAGTAGGGTTTCCACCTAGAGGCCCCGGTGACAGTGTTACTTGCTCTTGGTTTGGTCTCTGGATTAATGCTAGGAGGAGGAAGGCAGGCGGTGTGGTTAAAATGAGACTTGAATTTCTGGGAGAAATGTAAAAGAAAAAAAAATTCAAAGTTTCCTAGAAACCAAATCAGGTCTGTGAGTTCATTTCTGGGGGACATGAAGGACCTCAGAGGTCCTCTGCATGTTTCACGGAGCAGAGCTGCCTCTTCCACTGGGTGATGTGTCTGCAGCCTTGGCCCAGGCTGTGGGCAGGAGGTTAACACGCCTGTTCCCATCCCCTGGGCTGGCTCTTTGGGACAGAAAAGAGCCAGCCAGGCAGCTCCTCTGTCTGCGCCAGGCCTCTTGGTCTCTCCCCGCTGAGGGGGTCCTGTGCTGGGACCAAAGGGTGGGGCAGAAAGCAGGAGACCCTTCAGGACGGCAGAGAACACTCTGGAATGAAATTCTACCTTTAGATAGTCTTTGATTTTTCACACATGGAACATTCTAGATCGAAATGCTACACTGAGGCTGCAAGGTGGGATAATGCATTCTGAAGAGCCCCTAGGTCTGCTGCCTCCAGGCCCAGTACAGCCCTCTGGGGAGTGGGAGTGAGACCCTCTGCAAAAGGGGAAAGTCACTCCCTCCTAACTCATCAGGTTGTACCTTGGATGTGGAGGGATGTGTGCCTGGAAGCTACACCAGAGAGGGACAGCAGGAGAGGGGGTGCTGCTGTGGGCCAGGGGAGGACCTGAACAGACACTTCCCAAAAGAAGACATACAAATGCACAATGTGTATGCAAAAAATGCTCACCACCACCACTATCAGAGAGGTGCCAATCAAAACCTCAATGAGCTAGCCTCTCACCCCAGTTAGAATGGCTATGAGAAAGACAAATAATAATTGCTGGTGAGGGGGCAGAGATTGGAGAACTCATACACTCTGTGGAGCTATAAATTAGTATATCCATTATAGAAAGCAGATGGAAGTTCTTCCAAAAACTGGAAATAGAACTACCACTTATGTTTAGGAATCCCACTCCTGGGCATATATTCAAAGAAAAGAAATCATATCA